CCGCAGCAGCAGCAGCAGCGACTCAAGACGCCCTCTCCGTCGTCCTCTGTACCGCAGGCTACGACCACACGATTCGTTTTTGGGAAGCGTGGAGCGGAATGTGCTCCAAAATCGTTCAACATCCAGATTCTCAGATCAACAAGCTGGCCATCTCGCCCGACAAGAGGTTCTTGGCTGTTGCGGCAAATCAGCACGTCAGGCTCTACGACTGTGCGATCGGTGCGCCTGGCGGTAGCAGCGTTGGAGCGGGCGGAGCAGCTGGTGCGGCTGCTACGGGTGGTAGCGGCAACGCTGGCTTGAATGCCGGAAGCAATCCGGTGAGCTTCGCAACGGACGAGAAGAATGCCAAGAGCGCAAGGCGTCAGCTTGCGCGGGTGTGATATCGGGCTGCGCCGCTGTCCAGCCTGGCCAGGTCACGTCGAGTCACTGCAAGGTCGGCCACTGCTGACGTGCTCCGCTGCTGCGTTGTCAGGTCGCGACCTTTGACGGTCATGCGGGAAATGTGACCTCTTTGGCATGGCACTGCGATGCAAAGTGGCTAGTGACGGGCTCAGAGGATGGCACGTTGAAGATCTGGGATACGAGGTGAGGCCGTCAGAGGTGCGTGGTGTGCGCATCACTTATTGACACTCGTTGCGTCTGTAGGACTTCTCGACCACAACGAGTGTACGATCATCATGCCCCGGTGAACGATGTGGTCATCCATCCGAATCAAGGGGAGCTTGTCAGCTGCGATCAGGCAGGCAGCGTCAAAGTGTGGGATCTGGGCGAGAATGGCTGCAGTCACGAATTGGTGAGGTAGCCTCTCGATGCGCGAGTGGACGACGTTGGCTTTGTACTGAAGATTGCAGACGTTGGGATGAGCAGGTGCCGGAAGAGGAGGTCCCCATCCGGTCGGTCACTATAGCATCTGATGGCTCCTGTCTCGTAGCAGGCAACAACAAAGTAGGTACGGTCGTCAGGCCACGATCATGCTTTTCATGGATCTGAAGAGCTTTTGGTATGCCTCACGACGCAGGGAAACGTCTATGTCTGGCGCATACAGTCGGGATCATCTGCAACCACCGCAGATCCGAACAGCGCGACGCAGCTGGGAGGGGATGATGGCAGCAATGGCAACACGCCCAACACGCCAGGGGGAGAGTTTACAGATCTGCAGCCAGTCACCAAGTTCAGAGCGCACGACAAGTACTTGACCAGGTGTTTACTGAGCCCAGACGTGAGGTGAGTGCCTCGACGTTGACACGACCACTCGCTTGCTCTCCTGCTCACGCATCGCGCATGACAGGTACTTGGCAACCTGCTCAGCAGATACCACTGTCAAAATATGGAGCACTTCCAGGTACGAATTTGCGCTGGAAAAGACGCTCGTGGGCCATCAAAGATGGGTGTGGGACGCGGCTTTCAGTGCAGATAGCGCCTACCTCGTCACTGGTGAGTGTCTGACGGCGTGATGTGATGTGATGCTCTGCTCACGCTGGCTGACAGAAAGGAAGGATCTCGATGCAGCTTCTTCGGATCATGTAGCCAGACTATGGGAATTGGCGAGCGGAGAGACTGTGCGGCAGTACAATGGGCACAATAAAGCCGTCGTCTGCTGCGCTCTCAACGATTCACAGCTGGAACAATGAGATTGCCCAATCCGGTTTCAAGAGCGGAGTGGCGGCCCCAAGATTCTTCGCAGAGTTTGATGCGACGCCCATCTCTCTGCACAGATCATGACGCGCACTTGATTGCGATTTGGCACGATGTGCTTGCTGCCACTGTGGTGGGGCCGTGCGTGCCCCTTGGCGCTCCGCGCAGTCAGCCTCCTCCTCCTCCCAGCCGACTGCGCAGCTTGCCCATGTCGCCCTGTCACAAAAGACTGTAGGCAATGCGGCTGCGCCATACCTCGAAGGGAGAAGATGACCACGGATACTGCCGCCGAAGCTCCCTGTTACACTGCGCTCGCGAAGCGTTGAGCTCGGCAATCTCGAGCAATCTTCCGTTTCTGTCGCTTCGCTAGGGCCAAATGTGCTCAGCTCGGGTACATTGAGAGTTCGAAGCATAGATCTCGCGTTGAAAACCTAGATTGGGCCATGTCAAGTCTGCTGATGATGATTGGGTTGTGCCGGCACGTTTGGATGATGCTGGGCCTGTCATGCTGGTACCGCGGTAAGCTTTAGCATTTGCACGGGGCATGATGTCAATGATGATGATGAGCTGCTAAAAAGGTGCGGTACGAATGACGCCCTTCCCGTCCGTCGAATACAACGTCGGCATTCCGAAGCGGCAAGAATGACGTGCGACGAGACGACGACGTCGTCGTCGAAAATGAATGAGCAATGTAACCTATGCGACATTCACTTGTGGATCGTCATGCGAAGATGACAAAGTGGTGACGCCATATCGCACCATCTGGGATCATCGCCAACGACGTGTAGATGGACAAGCGAGATTCGCATTGCATTTGATTGGATGCCAGCGCGTCCGGCGTGTTCGAGGGATGGCCACGCGTAGAGATGCAGGCAGACTTGTAATCGCTGAGATTTGACACTGTCGTCTGCTCTGATAGACGTGTATGCGCACTCCCTTAGCAGACTCCACCAGGTCAGTCAACTTTGTGCCTCTGGCCGAACAGCGAGCATGATCCGCCCAGGTGTCCATCATGGACGGGCTGCGAGATTGCCGCCCTATGCTCAGCATGGATTCGACATGCGTGGCGAGGAGCCAGGCAGTACGTGAGCGGATGCTGGTATTTTTTTGAGGTTCGACTTTTTGAGAGATAGCCGAGCAGCTATCTATTCAGTTCCTGAGACGCTGCCCGGTCACTTTACATTTGAATCTCGCACCGCCGTCCCGAAGATGAGCGGAGCGGCATCCTCCGCTTTGTGCACTTTCCAATCGAGCGGAGCACTGAATCTGACTCTGTGCTGGCAAGGTCGCTCGCACTGTCAAACGGCAGAGATCAAGCGCGCGCCCGCCACGCCACGCCACGCCACGCCACGCCGACAGAGTGTGCGAATGTTGCGCTTCTCTTGCTGTCTTTTGAGTCTGATAGCTGCGTCGATGGGCAAGGCTCACAATTGCGCTTGTAGGGATTGGGGTGACGCTGCTGAGACAAGACAAGCGCTAGGCCACCGCCGCCGCCAATGGTACGCGCGCGCCTTGCACCAAGCATCCCTTGCTGCCTTGACACCGTGGCACCGTGCACAAAGGTCTTCTCTTCGAGCATTGTGATCGACCAACGAGCCGTTTGATCTCGACGGGCGCGGGGTAAATCTCTCAACCGCACTCCCGAGATCGCATCCAAAGTATGGCGATGGCTGCGCGTCGGTAAAGGTGCCCCTCCCGGTCAGCGCCGCCCGCGAATAATGCAAGATTCTCGAGTGACGCACCTCACTCGCATTTCACAATCAAGCACCACTCTCATTGCGCGCTTGTCTATTTGCCAGGGACGAGCGAACGCGAAGCATGTCGTCGGAGGACTTGTTGTCCGTTGAGCGGAACATATCTTCTACCCGCGTCCGCTTTGCCA